TCAGGTGGATATCAAGATATTTTGATTTAAAGGTTTAATAATTTTTATTTTTACTTAGTACAAATGATCGTCATCACGTGATCAAAAACCGAGCACAGATTCTACATATGCTAATTTGACACTTAATATTTTAATATCATTTGAATCGTTTTATGAGATAAAATAATAAGTGATAGAAATTACTTAGCTTTAAGATATTTTATTAAAAGGAAGATATTCAAAAAGCATGATTACAGGTTTGCCTTCTCCGCACTCATATGACCTATCACATTAGTAATGCCTGTACTAGGATTATAGGTGGAACCAATGTATCTGAATGACCGGTGTCTAACCATGTGAAAAGCTTGGCTAACGTGAAGTCAAATTAGCTCAGGGTAACAAGCATTCTGACGTTATGCGGGATAGATATTCATAAAGGATTCGAATTTAATGATTCTTCTTCGGTATTATCCATAAATTTTTATAAATTATATCTTTGAGATCTTTGAATTCTCAAGCATTTCACGAACATTATCTATATTCTACTCTTGAAATTTCTATTTTTGTTTTATTTATACGCGTTAAGCATTCAATACTTTTATTATTGATGTTATTATTTTTAAAATTATTAATTTTGTTTTATGTATTCTTAGGCAGGATAACAATAATTTGAATTCAATTGGCTAAATAAGCGGCTTCCATTGATTAATTTTTATGAAATATTTAGTCAGAAAGAAATTTTTATATAATACTTGTTATTATAAGGCCGTTTGATGCTATAATTTCGTTTAATGTTCCCTTTTGAAGCTTAAGCGCAGTGGGTGATGGGTATCAATTTAAACAAACATTGTGTTATATCGCAAAAATAATCACATTATTATTGATTGGCTTATGAACACGTGGAATTTAAAGGCGTAATGAACGTTCTGATTGGCCTGTTTAATTTTAGGAGGGCCCTTGGAGGTGGAGGGGGACGTTAAACGAAATTTTAATTTCAAATAGCCTAAACAGAAATCGTCATAAGACTAAATTTTTCGATAAATGATTTTTAACTTTGTACGTATATGATTTTGTTGTCATGCTAGGTTAATGATAATTCTGGCAGATCGTTTGGCCAGACCCAGTTTCTATTCCAAATCTGGTTAAACGATCTGTAAATTTTGTTTAGAGTTATCACTTCTTAATTTCTATTTTTAACACGTTGACAGAAGGCCTAAAATTCAGCGAGTCAGTCGCTTGAGCGAAGGTTGCTTAGTGTAACCAAAGATTAGATTATGTTGGGTCGAAAAAGGCGTGTTAGATTTGGCGAGTGGACATAGGTGACTTAGTGAATGTAGGAGTTTATTATGTACAAAGTTTATGTATTATTTAGGGATAGACTCGTATGATTTATTAGAGATACAGTATTTTGTATGATTATATGATTACAGTATTACGTATACGAGAACGAGAATCACACGGTTCACAACAGGTTATACTAAAAATAGATTACCCATTGTTAGTGTTACACAAGATTTCAAATGCGATCTCATTTTGTTGACCGCACCCCATATCTAAGGCCTATCAGTTTTTTTTTAAAATTTTGTAGTCAATTTGCAAAATTTTAAAAAACAACCTTATTCAAAATGCAAAATTTAAAAGATCAAAAACAAGAAGATTTCCTTGACAAAAAAAGAACAAAAACTTGACTGTAAGAGTATGACTTTTCATTAGCATCTTATATAATAGAAATTCTTATTTAATATTTGGGTTTTCTAGTTCTTATTTTCAATAATGAGCAAGTTTGTCTTACTGTGGGTTTCTACTCCATAGCCGTGAAGAAATTATCGTTTCTCCCATTGTCGCAGATCAATGGCGTCGAGTTGACAATCATTGGTTCAGCCAAATTATTAAAATTGCTGAACAAAATATCGATAAAAAAAACTTTCAATGACCTAAAGGAAAGGTATGATAGTTTGATTAAAGTTTTATTTTTCCCTTAATAATAACACGTGATTGTGCTGTTTATAGATCCCCCGGTTTCGCAGCATCTCCAGGTCCACCTCCAATATTTTGACCACCTCACCTTTCAATGTTCCTGTTTCTGAGGCTTCTACCAGTTCCACCTCTCCCAGCATTGAAGAATTTATTGCGGGTGATCCTGACCCTTTATTGAAGAAGCAAAAAAGAAATCTGAAGCCTATTAGGTCCTTATTACGGGTAGTTTGCGACGATAGGGTAAATGCAACAAATTCTAAGTCAATCCGACTTAAAGGATTTGTTGTATTGGTCGGTGGGTTCAGTACTATTTTATGGCGGGCCATTGGATAAAAACTATTAAGCATAAATATCACGTGGCTTAATTGTTTAATACCTTATTATTTTTCTTTTTCTTTATTTTTTTTATTAATTATCTTTTTTTATCTTTGTTTTATTTTTTTATTAACCAATTATATAAATTTTGATTTTAATTAAAGCTTTGGTTTTTATTTATATGTTGTGCAATTATATCTGACGTCAAATTAATAAATTAGCGAGATATTTTAATTTGGAAAGTCAATTCTTCGAAGGTATTATTACTCTCTAAACAGGTTATATTCTATGTATAATTAAAAAGGCACTTGGATATGTATTAAATGAGTTTGTAAGGTCATCTTATATAGATAACGTTGCTAATTTAATAATGTAGAAAATATTAAATTAGGGACATCTGCACTGTGTAATCCAAATTATACAAATAATGCCAAGAACTTCCAATATCATGCAAATTATACGATTTTAATAACTTTTGCTAGATAAATAGTTATGGTGCAAAGATTTAGAAGTTCAACAAAAAAAAAACGTAAAAAAATAAAAAAAAAAAAGATCACAAAAAACTCAAAAATTTGCTATGGAAACTAGCTTTCATCATGAAGTAAAAGTTTTCGACACAAAAATTGTATATTAACGCAACGCAAATAGCAATGTTAATCAAAGATTAGGATTGGATCATTGTTAAGATTAGTCTAAGACCGCCAACTTTTTGTCCCATGACTGGAGTAACGATGCAGTAGAATAATCCCAATGATATTATGGCTTAAGCCGTAACTAGCTAAAGTTTATGTTTTAACTAGTTACGGGACGATTCTACTGCATCACTAGACTAGAGGTAATTAACAATAATTATAATTTCTTCTGACTTACTATAATTTTTCTCTAAAAGTTCGTTATTAGACCCGTTAAGAAAATCACTCTAATCTGATATATAATATTTATAAATACTAATAACAAATCAACAATGTCATAAATCAATCTAAACTATATGATTTGGAAACATTAATACGTGTATAGCGTTAAATTATCAGGAATTTAATTCTCTAAATTTTTGAACTTAATTCGCTATCATTATTTAATTAAAATGATTAATCGTTAAATTAAAATGTAAAATATAAAACTTTCAAAAATATAATAAAAACACATAATAGATGTAAAATACCAAAGGTACTGTAATAATTATTGAAATAATAATAATTTTTGTAGCCATTCAATCTTATAAAACAGGTAATTGCAAAATAAATTCATAGAACTATTAAAATATTTATAACTAGTTTAACTCTATTAAATTATGCATGTTACAACTGGAGTATCGGTTAATCGTTGAATAATCGTTGAATAATCTAAATTTTACGCATGTCAATTTCATTTTAATTGATAGATCTAGGATTGACAGTTAATAATTGATGTTAACCGTTTTTTATTGGCAAATACAATATATTACAAAAAACATCAAGTTTTGATAGAACTAAATATTTTCAATAGCACTCATAATAACTGAGCATAAAAGAAATCAGATGACCAAACACGAGCCTTATAAAAAAACTTATATTTTAAGGTTGTTACATAAGATATTTTAATATATATATATATATATATATTGATTTATACATCAATATCGAGTATCTCGTAATACAAGCACGATAATGAATTAAGCATTGCCGATAATGTTTGATCAGTTAGCATGTTAATATCATTTCTTATTTTTCCTTTTTCTGATACCGATGTAAATCGCAATCTCGAAGGATTGGTGTTAAGATGAGCAGCGACATGATTAGCAACCTATATTAATATATAACATAAAAACCATATTAAGCAATAATAAAATGTAATGAGGGAATGAGTTATTTAGATAACGTACTGCATCATATGTCATGTTCTTATTTAAGATCAAACTAAATTCGGGTACTGAGTCTTTATACCCGCATTTTGACTTGAACTGAACGATAATACTCGTACATAATGATTCATAAAATTGAGGAATACTGTGAATTCGACCTGCAGAAACTTGTTCTTGAATTCTATATTAAGTAAATTCATTTAGCATTTTTTTGAAATTAATTTAAATAAGGATTAAATGCTAATAGCGTACTCTTCATTTGTTAATACTTTTTGGAAGCATATTATATCACCGTCTTGCATATCAGACTTATTAAAAGTTAATTTAGTCTTCTTTTTTTCGATCATATCTTGGCTAACTTCCTAGATTTAGTGAAAGAATGTATATATGGTTATATATCATTAAAATACCAAACAACAATAGATATAAATCAACACACCTCATATATATCCAAAGGCGTATTTTGTTGGAGTTGTTTTTTCTCACATAGAAAAGAGAAAATTGTATTAATCTTACTGCTTTTCTGAACACTTAATTGACCAAGACCTCTGTTCGAATAAATAAAGTTTGCGTTAATTCCCTCAAAATAATGATTTTGTTATATAAGTTTAACATACTCTAATGACTGGGTATCCGGATTAAAGTATTTAATGAAAATGATAATTTCTCCGGTTTGTATCGACCTTTTCTGTTTAAAGATAGAAAATTAAACAGGTGCGAATTTTATGTAAGGAGGCTAAATAATATTTATAAGTAATAACCTTGATGTTTATTGGTTTTTCCAATATTTCCATATATAATCTCAATTCACTACATCCTCCTACTAATTTCTCCTTGATTTCTTTCATCGCTAACATTAATGAAAAATTAAAATTAATTAATTTTATGAAAGCATAAAATGAAAATAATATAATAAATATTGCAACTCACATTTATTAAGAAAATCGTCTGTTATAACCTTATGGGGTCTAATAGTTTTATTATGTCGATTTATAATTACCCAGAACCTTATTCGATCAATAGGGATTTCAAAATTTGCAGCGATCATTTTCTTAAAAGCACCATATGTACTATCCTTTAAAACTTTAAATCGAGGAATTTCAGATAACGGATAATGCTGATTATTAAAGTTAACAAGGTCAAATCCTTTGTGATTTTTAAACATTTCCTCGGTTATAACCTAATAATGATGAAATTGAATTAATCTAATAATCATAATCACAGGCTATGTTCAATGTTTTAAATAAAAATTACCCTTATCGACATGTATCGACTATTTTCTATTAATTCTTTTTGCTTTTGTTCACGTACAGCATTTTCTTCTTCACCTACAAAATAAACATAATATTGATTTAAAAAGAACGGAGCAATTTATTTATGCTCAAATAAATTCCACTTACACAAATGTTTTGGGAGGTCTTCAAGAAGTATCGAAGATAGTGCTTCATCGATGCCGGACTCACGAATATAAACCAACATATATACATTATTATACGGAGAATCACTACCACCATAATTATTTTCAAGCACCTCTTTGACTGATACTGGTATAACTCGGGCGCCATCAAACTTTATCCTTATAATTTAAATATATTTATATAATTAGTCGCAATTCACATAATAGGATCGTAAAGATAAATTTGACAAACCATCTATGATTCCTCTCGGGTCTTAACAATGCATAATATCGACAATTATATTCATTCAAACCACCGCGAACAAGTACACTAATTGCGATAAAATTCCATAAAAGCTTAATTGATAAAAATTCTTTAAACAAATTCTCAATAGGAATTATATAATTTTGTACCAACCCATGTAACAAATATTTATACGGTTTTGACTTATCTGCATCTGGTGGCAAATATTTTTGTAAATCAAGTTCCATAGGAAATTCGTAACGATTTCTTAACTATAATACAGTAGTAACAAATTAAAATTATTAGAAAAATATGCTTAAAATTTAAAATAGTAGATTTTAAATAGTTATACCTTAACCATAGTGTTACTCTGTATATCATAATCGAACTGATTTAAATGTATGTGCAATACGAGTGGAAAACTTTCAAAGCTTACACATTTTTTGGCAACCTATAAAAATAGAGTAAATAATATAATTTATCATCCTCACTATTAGATAATGAATGAAATAAAAATATATAAAATAAATAATATGAAACATACTTGTAAACCATAACCACCCGTGTCATATTTATTATCTCCATCTAAATTTACTTGCATATATTTCATAAAAGATTCATCTAGAGTTTTACATCCTTTAACGTTAAGTTGAATATCTATCGGGAGTACACATAAGTTACCATTAAATTATTATAAACAGAACTCTTGGTTAATATAATAATATTTTGTTTCTACCATAGTAATCTTCAATGCGTAGGAACTCATAGTCTACGTTAATACATTTAATGTAGGTTTTCATTTTGCCAGCAAAAAGTTTAGAAATTGTGCCATCTGCTTTTGTGCCCTGGAATTCCATGTAAAAAATTTCAATATCAATTTTAAGATTTGTAATTCATCGCCAGTGCTATACTTCGCTACTCTCTGATCGGCCAGTGGGAATGTAAAAGTGTAACGAGAAAATCGATGTTATGATATTCATAAATTCGTGTATCTTTTTAAATCTGTTCTGTTGGCGTAAATAACAGACTATATACTAGCAATTTTTTTTCAAAAATCACTTTCAACTCAATTTTGCTGAGACAGTTCTTTTCATATAATAAAAAAAAGTTTTGCTTAGGTGGTCTACTGAATGTTCTTGATTTATTTAGAACGATGCATCGCATCACACTGACGATGAATTATCAATTTTTTATAAAAACTTTATATATAATAGTCTTAATAACGTGTATCTCACCTTTAATTTATCTTCAATATTATTTCTAAGTACCTCAATGAATTTTCGAACATCTCCCGTAAGAAACAAATTCCATCCAAAAAATCTTGCTAATTCTGTTATTTCAACTGTAGAATCTGAAACATTTAATTGGTAAAAAATCCTCTGTAACGCTGAGCCAATACTTTTTACTGATTTATCATTTTCCATAGGAATTTGGTATACAGCCTATTATTAATGTATAATATTATATCTTTGAGATAAAAAAGAAGGAAAAATATTATTTTCAAAACAAAAAATAATAATAATAATAATAAACAAACC